TTGCTTATAAGGTCGTAAATGATCCACTCTGCCTTCTTTGTTTCTGTCCTTTTCTTTCTTGCTCCATATGTTCTAGCCATACTGTCCATCGTTCTTTTTCAGAAAGAAAACTAGACTCCTTGTCAAATTCAGATCTGTGCATGTGCTGTTGCCTCTGATGGAATACTTGGCCCACACAGTCTTCCACTGCTGACTTCTTCTTGTCATTCATTTACTCAGTCTTCCTGCTTAGAGAGGCCTTACCCAGCTACTTGTGCTGAAGGAATTCTTTCTTTTTATTGTTAAAACTTTTTGTTTTAATTTTTTTCCAATGGTCCTTATCATCCTTTAAAAACATCCATTCATCTTGTCTGCTTTCTAATTGCAATGTTTGATTCATAAAAGCAGAACTTTGTTTAACTGCTATATCTACAATGCCAAGGACGATGTTGGGCCTATGATAAGAATCAGTAAAAATGTGTTAGTCTTGGATGACTCTATAGCACATAATATTCTAAGATTTTATAATTGTAGGTCTCATCATTCTTTAATTCATCATGTCCATAAACAATTGCAGTGTGGGTTATTTTTTAAGTGAATGCTTATTTGCATTTAAATATTGTATCAACAGCATATTTTGTCTATTACTTGATAGCATAGTGGTTTAAAGTATGGTCCTGAAGTCCCTCAGATTGTGTGGATTTCTATCCAGGTTCTATTGCATAACATGGTAGTTATACAGACTCTTTGCACTTAATATTTTAAAATATTTTTATGTGCAAATTGTGGATATTAACATTGCCCCTTTCCTACAGTGTGTTTGGCTGAGAAAATCAGAAGAGATATGTATAGTACTTAATATAGTGCCTGGCATACGCTAAATCCTCAAATGTTAGCCAATAGTAGTAGTAGTAGTATTTTATATTTTTACACAATTGTGCAACTGTCAAGCCAGTAGTTTTACATGAAAATAAGTCAATAGCAAGGTAAACTGAGTAATGGCCAAAAATTTAAATACATCTTTAATGTTGTTTAGCCTAGAAAAATAAATGTACACCATTTTCATGCTATTTCTTCTAACCTTATGTGTTTTTACTGACAAGTGATAAGTTTTCTAATAACTTCAGAGAAAGAGAGGGGAGAAGAACATGGATTCAATAAAAGTGCCTTTTTATCTTTGAACCCTTGTATAACTCAGGAATTTTCTTATTTTAAAAGATCCTAATATAAAAATTAAAATTCACAGTGATGGCAAACAACTGTACCCATATTGTATATATATTCTAAGTTGCTTTACTTGTGTGTATTGTTTTGGAGACAGAAAAAGGAAAAAAATTACATTGATGTTCAATATCAAGTGAAATACATATTTTTAAAATACCAATAGTAACGTAACAAACATTACTTGGCAGAAGATACAAACTTTACACGCTCTTATCTGTTTACATAAGGGTATATAAAATCAATACAATAGATGCATAATTATGCATATCTACTGAACATTAAAATTCACCTTAAGTATTAATTCTTCATTCATATGAATAATTAAAATTTGCTTTATTTAAGCTTTTAAAAGTATTTTTGAGAACCAGCTTATTTCTAAGGACTAAATGTCCTTGATATACGCTTTTGATCCTCATTTAATGAAATTCTTTTCTATTTTTCTTTGTGCCACATAGAAAACAGGCAAACCTGCAGTTTGTACTTCATGACTAGCCTTAACTCTTGTTGAAGTATAGCATAATTATAGTCCTGTCAAAACATATAAGTAGCTGTGGACAATCTTTGGTATTTGTAGTTTTCATGCATATTTATAATCTTAATAATTATCTATGCAATGCTTTGTTGTTACATTCATTGGTCTGATTTCTATTTAGAAAAGATTTCTTCCTTTAAGAATATGCAGCCATAAAAAACGATGAGTTCATGTCCTTTGTAGGGACATGGATGAACCTGGAAACCATCATTCTCAGCAAACTGACACAAGAACAGAAAATCAAATACCACATGTTCTCACTCATAGGTGGGTGTTGAGCAATGAGAACACATGGACACAGGGAGAGGAGCATCACACACTGGGATCTGTAGAGGGGAACTAGGGGAGGGACAGCAGGGGGTGGGGAGTTGGGGAGAGACAACATGGGGAGAAATGTCAGATACAGGTGATGAGAAGGAAGGCAGCAAACCACATTGCCATGTGTGTACCTATGCAACAATCTTGCATGTTCTTCACATGTACCCCAAAACCTAAAATGCAATAAAATATATATATTAAAAAAAAAGAATACATGATTACTCAAATAGTCCACCCTAAATGTTGTATTTCTTTGGCATAGTAAGTCTGATTTTCTTAGCATGGCAAATCTCTGACTTGTGAGAAAAGTAAATTAAAAAATGAACCAAATTATTTCAAAGAGAACTCAAGGAAATATGCTTGTAGGAATTTCAACAAGTGCCCTGTTAGTTAAATAAAAATTATTTGAAGGCTGAGTGTCTAGCTAAGCTCCTAATTTCTCTGTGCATATTTATCATTAATTAATCTATAAATGTAGTTACCCATGTTTATGGTATATATAGTGGTTATTGTTACAGAAATCAGGTGTTTCATCAAACATACTTATTTAGCACAAAACAAATATAGTGTCAGCCTCTTTCATTGAACTCTCAGAAACTAAAACTTAAGTATGCATTTTCCAAAATTTAATGAAATCCCATCAAAACAGAATGTCACAGTGCCGGTTGTCTCTTGTTTGGTTTTCTAAAGCTTTATTTGTTGATTAAGTGGCTTGCATCTCTACAAGGCCACCACTCACTTTTCTAAGGCCTTGACCACAGGCAATTCAATTGTTTGGCTGTTAAATTTTTCAGCAGTCCGTTACTATTTGAATATTATCTACTGAAAGCCCTGTTTTCTGACAAAAACCACAATAAATCACTGGATAGATACTTAACCCTCCAGAACCCAACCTAAAGGAGTCAATTCTTCTCATACTTGAGGAGTTGTAATAATACCTGAGAAATGCTGCCAGGGGAGCAGAATATGCCTATACATGGGTTATTTAAGCTTCGAATAAGTAAGAGTTTTATGCTGAAGATACTCATGAACCATGATTTACACACAAAACAAGACTGCTAGACTATCCCACTGGTACCCTGCCAGGGAATTATTTTCTAGCAGGAGATGTTACATTTATGCCCATCCAACCACATCTGAAAGTTTCTTATGTATATGAGGCTTTCTGCAATGACCCCTAGTACTTGATAGACAGGCAGCTGTGGATCGTATAGTTGCTAGAACAGTGTCCCCTCCCTTATTCCTGGCTGCATGGGCATTGTATCACTGGCTGTCATCTCCCTTCAGGGTACTTTTATTTTTAACAGTGGCAAGCATTTGAGACATGATCAACTGTGGTTGTAGGATTAGGGATAAAGAATTAAGGGGTACTGCTAGTTGGAGAGGAGAGCCCACAGGAGCATATATATCCTGGTCTCTCATACTAATAGGGATGTATGCAACAAGGCACTGGCATTTCTTCTAACCCTAGTATCTTAGTGACATCAGTTTAATTTCTACTCCAGCTAGGTAATAGGAGATATGGGAATGGAAGACAATGGAGTAAACCCAGGAAGAGAAATAAAAGGATATAAACTATGGTGGGTATAAAACCTTGACAAGAGACTTTTAGTCTTTTATCATAATTTAAAATAATAATGTTTGGCTGGGCACAGTGGCTCACGCCCATAATCCCAGCACTTTGGGAAGCCAAGACGGGTGGATCACGAGGTCAAGAGATCAAGACTATCCTGGTCAACATGGTGAAACCCCGTCTCTACTAAAAATACAAAAATTAGGTGGGCTTGGTGGTGCTCGCCTGTAGTCCCAGCTACTCGGGAGGCTGAGGCAGGAGAATTGCTTGAACCCAGAGGTGGAAGTTGCAGTGAGCCGAGATCGCTGCCATTGCACTCCAGCCTGGGTAACAAGAGCGAAACTCCATCTCAAATAAATAAATAAATTAATTAATAATAATAACGTTTACTATTAACCAAGAATGCAAATTTATAGCTGAAATTTTGTGAGAAAGAAATTAGTATACAGAACAATGCAAAGGTATTCAAGCACCAACATGAACAGTCAAATTCATGGGGACAGGCAGGTAAACAGGGGAATAAGTAGAGATGGCATGATGACAGTGTCACCAGGATGAATGATATTGAAGTATTTAATTTTGTTTACCATATTGATTTAAAAAATTATGATTTACTACCGTCGCAGAAAAATCCACCCTTGAATTACATTTCACAACTTATGGGACTGATTTAGTACATTTTCCAAATTTAGCCCTTGTATCTGCTAGTTCCAATACCTTCTTTCCCTTTGGGAAATGGTTTGCAGTGGTACGGGTCTGTTCATTTGCCCATCATCCCTTGCCACGCTCTAAATTTCAGATAAGAGATGCAATGCAACTTAGAACTATGAAACAATGTAACTGGTCCCAGTTACATGCTTTAAATCAGGTAAATAGACACAGATGTGATCAGATACCACTGATATGTTGTATATTTGGGACATCTGAGTCATTAATCAAGATTTTCTATTCCTCTAATGCATTGTAAAGAAATAAGACTTATTTTTTTCATAAAGTAGCCTATTCAAATAGAGATTATAATTGTCTATTGAAAATTTTATGATCAGTGTACCATTAAGTGGCCGGTGTTCACTACAAGGTTGACAAATGCACCCTTTCAATACATAATTGTTATCTTTATGTTTGGTGTTATGCAGTGTTTTTTTCGACTTCTTATTAACTTCTGTTCATCACTTTCAGTGTAGAACTTAACAGTTTATCCTCTGTTTCTTCAGGTATAATGCGGAGGTAGTTTCAACTCCATACTCTTCTGTAAGACTTTTCACACTTACACTACAATCCAGTTTCTCCAACAGTTTGACTTGCTCTGCAATAAACATAAATGCTGCTTTTTTTTCTTATCATTATCATCATAGGGATATCTGCAGATTTTTGACATTTTCAACATTTTTACATCACAGAGCAGAGAATAAGCAAAAAATAAAAATAAAAAAAATTATACTGAGTAATGCACATAGGTCTTGGTCCCATGGGAGCATTGTGGGGAACCTGCCCTCAGTAATGTCCAGCCTGCACACATGGTGTGGTCCTTTCAGTGAAGCTAGAAGATAAAAAGAAATAGTTTATTGTTAGGTTTGTTATGTGAAACTAAGAAAAAATCTTTGAAAATGTGACTGACATCTGTATACAAAAGTAATATCATGTAAAAATCCTTAGTGTTCTACTCAGCCATTTCTTACCTTAATTTGCCTGAAACCTAAAATTCAGTCATAAAGAATGTATAAAAAATAATTTACTTTGGGAAAAATAACACCAAAATCTGCTGCTAAATGTAATTATTTGGTGCAAACTTTATTGACTTTTTATGATTAATAAGACCTACCCAAAACTATTTTAATTTTTTTATTTCTATATGAAAGTCTGTTTAATGAGAAAATAAAAGAAGGAAGATATTTCGGATAGTATTATTCAAAATAATGCAGTGTTAGAAAAAATCCTATGACTGTTAAATAAATTATAGTGGACAAATATAATTGGATATAATATATAAGCATTAAAATTATGTTTTGAGACTTTTAATGGTGTAAGAACCCTCTGTGGGCATGCTTGCATGGACAAATATGAGTGTATGCTGAAAGGATGTATCACAGCTGATAAGGACTGAAAGGGTCTTTTGTCCCTTTGGAAACTGAGTCAACTGTGTGTTTTTGACTGTGAATAATCATATGATATTAGGTGTGGAATTTTCACTTGTGGCATCACATCAGCACTCAAAGTTTTGAATATTGGAGCATTTTGAATTTCAAATTTTGGATTAGGAGTAATCAATTTGTATAAAATATTTAACCAACTTTGACCAATATATATGTATTAGTATATCTCTTTTAGTCCTCATGAATATTTTAGCACATTTTAGTATAGTCTAGAGCCTATTATACTTAGAGGGCTATATCCTACTTTTTGACTACCTTTTACTTTTAAACAAGTTCTCACATCATTAAAAGTCTCACAACATATTTTTAATGCTTATATATTATATCCAATTATATTTGCCCACTATAATTTATTTGACAGTCATAGGATTTTTTCTCACAGTGCATTATTTTGAATAATACTATCCTAAATATCTTCCTTATTTTCTCATTCAACAGACTTTCACACAGAAATTTAAAAAAGCTAGTTTTGAGTAAGTCTTATTAATCATAAAAAAGTCAATAAAGTTTGGACCAAATAATTACATTTAGCAGCAGATTTTGGTGTTATTTTTCCCAAAGTAAATTTTTTTTTAGACATTCTTTACGACTGAATTTTAGGTTTCAGGCAAATTAAGGTAGCAAATGGATCAGTAGAACACTAATGATTTTTACATAATATTACTTTTGTACACAGATGTCAATCACATTTTCAAAGATTTTTTTTCTCAGTTTCACATAACAAACCTAACAATAAACTATTTCTTTTTATCTTCTAGCTTCATTGAAAGGACCACACCAAATGAATCATGACTGATTTTCCCCTTCTTCTCCTTACACACATCTTCCATTCACTCTGCAATATAAACTATTCTTCCTTGTTTCTATTTTCCTCTCCTGCCTTTATGATTTTTTGAAAGACTTTAAGTAAACTCAGTGACATCTTTTCCTTCAGTGATATATTGGTTCCTAGTACTGTTGTGACTTTACTATCAGTTATATGTACCCAATAATTCAGAGTATCTCAAAAACTAGAACTTTAATTAGTGTTAACTAGATGACCTATACACATTTTTCCATGCACAGAAAATATTGTTACTTGCATACAGGAGTACATTCTAAACATGCTCAGTTGTGTCATGTTCTTACATGTTAACCATCAACAACAAAAAAGATGACTAAAATTCTACTAATCTGAAATTATTTTGCTTGTTTACAGTGTTGTGGTTTTGGACTGATAGACCAACATATGCATTAAAATTCCTTTGTTTTCTGAGATACAGCTGTTTGGGTTTTGAAGGCAACATTCTTTTTACTTCAAATGCTTGACATAGACTTTTTCTTTAACTGGATAGCCTAGAAATAGTATCTTTTATCTCTTTTTTCTTTCAAATACAACCATCGCCATGTTTCAAAGTAAAATATGAAGCTGCTTTTCCATCAGCATGGTTAAAAATTCATTTATCGATAAATAGTCTAGCTTAAGTTCTCTTCATTCTGTCACAATAAATCATCAATAATTTCAAAGAATGTTAAAATTAAAATATTTTTAAAATAATAATGGTTGTTATGGATACTGCTAAGTGCCCTTCATTGTGGAGTGGTGTGTTATTGTGAGATTATCAACCTTTAACCCTATTAAGACTCTATTTGGGAAAATATCATAATATTTTTATTTCAATATGAGTTGTACAATTCTGAATAACATGATGAGTTAGTGCCTAATGGAGTAATTTTGAATTGAACTTATTTTTTATTTATTTTTTTTTTTTAGATGGAGTCTTGCTCTGTCACTCAGGCTGGAGTGCAATGGCAAGATCGCAGCTTACTGCCAACTTCTGCTGCCTAGGTTCAAGTGATTTTCCTGCGTCAGCCTCCTGAGTAGTTGGGACTACAGGTATGTGCCACCACGCCCAGCTAACTTTTTTGTATTTTTAGTACAGATGGGGTTTCGCCATGTTGGCCAGGCTGTCCTAGAACTCCTGATCTCAGGTGATCTGCCTGCCTCAGCCTCCCAAAGTGCTGAGATTACAGGCATGAACCACCACTCCCAGCTTTGAATTGAACTTTTGGTGAAAGAGAATATCTGTATATAAATGACAAAGTTTTCTGATACCAATAAATAAATCCACTGGCTTGTCCTCTATTTAATTTAAAATCAGTAACGTAATGATTTTTACAAAGGACCTACACTAAATGAACACCTATTAAGTATGAAGCATGGTTTATCTTGCCTATGAGATCACGGGCAATAATCCACACATCGCCACCATATTGTTATGCATAGTGTGTATAAATAAGTATGGACAGCCATATAATGGAATGCTGCTTAACCAATAAATAATAATTGGTAAATTGGCTTCCTAATGTGGGAAATATACAATATATATCTATAATATAGACAGTAATTATAGATGATTATTTCTTTGTGGTTTTCTGTATTTTCATTATTTCTGTTTTAAGCATATCACGTGTTTATAATTACAGAAAATGATAAATGTAGTTGGAAAACATACCTAGTCACAGAAATGGTATAAATATAAGTAAGTATAGTATTTTAAAGAGCTACAGATCTATTAAAATGTACTGTTTCAGAGACTTTATGCTAAGTGGTAGGGATGCATTATCCCTACCCTCAAGAAGCCTGTTGATTTGTAGCCAAAGTGTTAGGGCAGTTCAAAGAAGGACAGATTATTTTGGTTGGTATCCCAGATGCCAGGTTCTTATGAAACCAGAAAGCCTGGAAGGTCATAATACACAGAAAAAACCTCAACTCCCTGTAAATGACATAAAAGAAGCATCTGAAAACTGTTAGAACTAAAGAAAAAGACTCAATTCAAGAGTTTAAAAATGATTAGACTAATCGAAAACCCAGTTTTCTGTTTCATAAATATCATACTTGAAGAAGGAAAGGAGGTTGGGAACTGGCACTATTTCAAACACTTGTTTTAAATAATGGAAATTTATAGTTTATAAATATTGAATTTCTCCTACACTTTAATATAGTGTATCCTTTTGGATATAGACCGTTCATTATAGAACATTGTTAGAACATGTTAGAACATTATAGAACATGTTCCCATGTTTCCAATTTTATTAGAAGTGAAGAGGACTTCCTGTGTTCTATGGCTGTGCCAGGTCAAGAAGGTGGTAGAAGTTGGAGCAGGGTTAGCTGTCACTGTTCTGTCTTTGTGGTGATGTAGACCAGATGAAGGTTCCTTCCTTCATGGCCACTGGAAGGCTGGGAATATGAATGAAGGACTGTCAACTGTATTCTTTTGGTGCAATAGTAGAATATTAATTTGGAATTTCTAAGTTTTAAAAACAAAATTAGTTTTCAAAGAATAAAAGGGAATATATAAGCTCATCCCCTATTATTCTAATTTACTATCCCGAGGGTAAGGATTTGTGTAAAATTGTAATTTTAAATCTTTCCTGAGGACTTAGAAACTTCTGTTTCCTGCCTAAAAATAGACTTCTGCATGTCTTCTATGGTGAAGGTTTTAAACATGGCAATGACAACATCAATTAAAGTGATTCAAGATTTTTAAATGGCTAACTTGAAAAGAATATTAGCCCATGCACCTGGGATGCTAGCTTACCCAAAGACAAGGCTATGACATCTATGATTTTTAAATTCAATGATTCAATAAAATGGATTTCATTTACTTGGTAATTTAAAAAATTTTAATTGTTTTGATTTGGATAGACTTTTACATATTTTGTTGCTTCTCCCAGTGATATTACCTGAATTTACCCTTTTCATGTAGATGCGTAACCCATTTAATTTCCAGATAAAAATGGATGGTATTTTAGATTTTCTGCCTAATATACATGTTGGTAAAATTTCTGTCAAAGTATATGAGGATCAATATAAGCTTTTAAGTGTTGCAGTGTGAGTAAGAAGTGACTCACTTGCTTTTGAACTAAACTCTTTGTAATTGGAATTTTTCCTCTATGTTTTTTAAGGTCTACAGTGAACCAGCCAATAATGGTGCTTCAATATGAACTTTATAGAGGTTATAGTCTTCAGAAGGGAGAGTAATATACGGTTGCAAGTAGAAAGAAAAAGACTTCCCAAATTACACACCTAAAGCCCTGTGTTTCCAGCAGAAAAAAAGCAAAGAAAAAAGTTACTGCAAAAAAAACTGCAACATATAATGGTAGTTGGTAAAAATTTATTAGTAGCACAGACCTGGTATGAGAAAACATTTATTAATAATTGGGTGTGCAGAGTGTGTGGTTACATAATAGATACCCAGATTAGAAGAATTTGCAGACCCAAATTCTTAGCATCCTTTAACTTCTTCTTGCCTTTATCTAACTTTCAAACATTTGGCTCAGGATCAACATAGAGAAGCAATCTGATTAGACATTTTGCTGTCAGTATGACAGCAAACAGATGTTCTCACCATTCTTTTTAGCACTGTACAATTGATATATATTGTCCATTTTAGATGATGTTTACTATGTGTATTTAAGTGTGTATGTATATTGTAAGATTATATAGATAGATGTATAGTTAGATGAATAAACAGATCAGTAGATAAATAGATTTAAAAATTAGGCTGTAAAGTTGAAAACATTGAGGAAGCACTCCAGAACATTAGTCTGGGCAAAGTTTTCTTGAGTTAGACCTCAAAAGTACAGGCAACTCAGGCAAAAATGGACAAATGGGATCACATCAAGCTAAAAATCTTCTGCACAGCAAAGGAAATGATCAATAAGCAAAGACACAACTTATAAAGTGGGAAAAAATATTTGCAAACTACCCATCTGACAAGAAATTAATAACTAGAATATATAAGGAACTCAAACAAATCAATAGAGAGAAACAAATAATATAACTAAAAAATGAGCAAAAGATCTGAATATACATTTCTCAAAAAGAAACACAAATGGTCTCCTTTTTCTTATTGAACATTTTTTCATGTTAAACACGTCTGAAAGTGGTCAACTGGTATATGAAAAAATGTTCAACATTATTAGTCATCAGAGAAATAAAAATCAAAACCACAGTGAAATATTATCTCATACTGGTTAAAATAGCTTTTATTAGAAGACAGAACATAATGAATGCTGGCAAGTCAGGGAACCCTCTGGTGATCTAGTGTTCAGTAGCACAAGAGGGCAACTATATTCAACAATAATGTATTGCATATTTTAAGATAACTAAACTAGTGGACTTGGAATGTTTTTAACACAAAGTAATGATAAACGCTTGAAGTGATGGTTGTAACAATTACCCTGGTTTGATCATTACACATTGTATGCTTATATCAAAATACTACCTGTACTCCATAAATATGTATAACTATTACATATCCATAACTATTAAATATTTTTAAGTTAAAAAAGATTTTTGATTTTTAATATTAAACAGAGTAACTATCGTTTCTCTGGGTTTGCAAGAGGGTCTTCCTGCAAAATCAAATGATATTCCTAATTTTTCAGGTTCTAAAAATTTATGTTTTAGGGATTTATTCCTCAGACCTAATATTCTGTCTTTTATCCTTGCAATTTCACACCTCACTGTAAATCAATTTGCTCTAAGATTTTTCTGCTGTTGCACATCCAGTTAATTCTCATGAAGTGCCCTACCCCTTACTCCTGTCTCCTGCAGTTAATGTTTCTAGACCTGGTTCAAATGTGTTTTTCAATTCAAAACCTTCCCTGAGCTATCTAAATGAAGCTGATAACTTACTTCTTTGATTGTGTTTATACAGAGTATTTAACCCTAATTGTTGTGTTCATCACATTAAGTTACATTTATTTTGTACCTTTCTTGCCATTAGACTGTGAGTTATTAAGGATATATCTTCTGCCTTATGTGTCTTGGTAACTGTAGCAACTGGCATTTGGTCTTACAAATTGTTCATTGAATGAATATGTGATAAAATGAGTTTGTGTTGGCAGTGAAGGAGAAGTCTTTAAACCCTGAATGTCTGAGGGAGAATTCAAGGGGAGAGAGGTGAAGGAGAAAGATATCACTGTGCGCACTGGAATTACCGATGATATTCACTTACTTAGAATGTCATTTAGAGCTGAACTTTGTGCCAGTGACAATCTGAGCTGAGCTTTGTGTACCTAAAGCCAGGCCCTTGATTTGAACTGCTGCTATTTGAAAAGCCCATGGGAGATTCTGACCCTTAGAGTTCCCTGAAAGTCTTTTCTTAGGAGCTTTTCTGCTTGTTACAACCACCTATTATGATCTATCTCTTGTGGTAATTTCACAGAAATCTTCACCAAATTTTTCAATTAATCCTTGAAGAATTTTTTTTTCATGGACAAATAGATGGTTTCAAAATACTGAGGAGCTAAAAGAAATAATGTTGCATGTAGGAGGAGGGAAATTGCATTTTAGACACACAGACCTGAATGGAGAGATAATTTACACAGTTCTTCAATTTAATACCTGTCAATAGTTACAACTGTGCTGTCATATTGCGAAGATCAAGGTAAACATTTCAGGATAGATTTTAAAATGGGTATTTGTAAACATATAAAAATAAATCTGACATAAATTTTTATTTTTTCTGTAGGAATACTTCATCTGGAATTAAAAACATACCTGAGAGAGAAAAGTAATTTTAAATCTATTTAATTATATTTTATAAATGGACTCTGGAGAACTAGGAAGCAGTTCAAGGTAAGTGTTAGGGTTGTCCTTCATTCTCAAAGAAGACACTGTCAAACTATGAACTACTTCACAGCATTTGTGTGAAATAAAGGCACTGAAAGTCTCATGATGCTCTGTCTCATTTATCTACCCCTATTTATTCATAGAATGCATTAGTTTAGCTCCTTAATTATTTCTTATCTACTTACTGCTTATATAATTCACATTGAAGAATTTTATCATTAAATTTAGGATTTTTTATTTGCAACTTTGACAAGTATATTACTCCCCAGAGTAGTAAATGTTTGCAAATTTAGTAACAGATTTATGAAAATAAATTGGCCTCCCCAGCAAAATAGAAGGTAAGAATTATTGCAAACTCTTTTGCCCAAGGCGCTGAGCTAGGTACATAGAATCCTGTGGAAATGAATTAGTTTGTAATAGCCAAAAATGGAGTGTTGAAGGAGATGCAGCAATAATGTTGATCTTAGTTATAAGGGTAAAATAAAATCACTGGAAAAACCTCTCCTAGTTTTTGACAAATGAATGAAATGGCTTCTTCCTCTTAATATAATTCAGTAGATCTGACGCAAATGATAGTCAGGTTGATTCTGAGAAACAAAAAATTAAATACTGAGAACTCTTAGAAAGACATAAGCTAAGTCAACATATAAATGGAGGAAAGAACAATTTAGATATGAAAAGAAATGGTTGCAAAAACAGCAGAAGCTTGGAGAAGAACTTTCAAGTTATAATTTATGCCTTTCCCAGACATTTTGGCTGGATCCTGATGATTTTCTCTTCTTTGTTCTGCCTACCAGGACCAGTTAGGAGGAAAGGAGAGTCCTCAAAATATCTAACTGCTTACTGTGGGGAAATGAACACGGAGAGTGATTTTGCCCAATTGCAAAGTTAGAAAACCTCAGACTTGAGGTGAATTCCTTCACCTTATACCAGATAAAAGAGAATTGTGGAACAGAAACTCAAAAAATAAATATAAGTAAAAGCTTAAAATAAATATAAGAATTAAATATTCTCAAAGATATAAGGAAGAATAATGGAAAAGGTGGCAAAATAATATATTTTGAAAAACATAGAAAGAATTCAATAGATAAATGAAAATAAAATAAATACAATTGGGTTACAAACTAATGACTTTAAAGATTAAGTAGAGGAAAATTTTAAAAATGTCGTCAGAAAGAGATACAGAAAAAGAGAGGAAAGAAACAAAATTTGGAGATAGGGCAGATGGATATGTAATTCTTAACCTTTACATGGAAGGTTTTCCAAGAAACTATATTTTTAAAAAGTGAAAGAGAGGAAATATTTGGAGAAATAGTGGCCTACCATTTGTAAGATTTAAAGAAGAAAAACATTGCAAAATTTCACAGTGCCAAACCTTATAGACATTTAAAAAGACAATACAAACATATTAAAGTAAATTTTAAAACATCAAAGACGAAGATATTATTAAAGTTTTCTAACAGAAAACAGTATTTATAAAAAACCAAAAAAACAAGAAATAAATCACTAATAAAATTATTGTTAATGTGATATAAAAGGACTTTAAATCTGAAATGTTATATGCAACTAACAATAATTTACATGCAAAGGAAATATAC